GACAAAGGACAGGCCGCGGGCAGCCGGGCAGCCGGGCATGTGCTAGGCTGGGCGGACAGAGGCTCCCAGCCAAGGCCAGGTGGGGCCAGCTCAGGCTGTGCCTCGAAGGCCATGCGAGGCCTTCATGCTGGGCACAGGTGACAAGCCGGGGAGGGCTGTGGGCCGGCTGATTCTGGCCAGAAGGGGCCGCTGCGAAGCCAAAGGGCCTGGGGCCTGCGGGGGACGGTGTGAGCTCGTGGGCAGGAAAGAACAGCAGACAGAGAGCAGGAAGGACCCTGAAGTGGACGACCCTCGTGCACTCAGAGGCCCCTGTGCTGAGCCAGAGCCACATAAAGGGCAGCAGGACTCCCTGCTGCCAGAAGGGGGAGAAGAAGGCCCTCGGGGGACAAAGGGACACAGCATGGCCACTCACACCTGGAGCGCCCTCGGCTGCGGCAGGAGCAAGGTGACACTGCGGCGTGGACCTGAGGACCTCATGCTCCGTGACAGCCAGACACACAGGCCACACAGGGGACGTCCAGGACAGAGAGTCCAGAGACGGAGCAGGGCGGAGGGACGGGGGCTGCTCGTGGGGACAGGGCTTCTCATTGGGGTGGTTCCAGGAACAGCTGCCACCTCAGTCACCTGCTGCATCTGGGTCTCTGCTCCCAACGGCAGGGTTTTAGGATACGGAAGTCGCACCTCCCTGGACAGCACCAAAGCCAGGGCCACCCTCTGTGGCCTCTCAAGAAGATGGGCCACCGTCCAGCAGAGCTCCCCGCAGCGGCAGGACCGGAGCACGGGGCCTCCCCAGGAGCCCAGGGAGAATGCGGCTGGTCCCCCCGAGGGCAGGGCCAGCAGCCAGCTCCCCCTCCAGCCACAGACGTGACTCCTCTCCAGCCCTTGAGGGACAAGGCCAAGCCCCAGGGTGGCCGAGCCAGCGGCAGTGTCATGAAATGCCCCCAGAAGGCGGACTGCAGAAGTGGCCGCTCGGGGACAGCAGCCCAGGAAAAGACTTCCCCAGAACAAGAGCCCAGCCGCGCTGCCCAGGCTGCTCCAGCGACCTCCCTGCCCAGCCCCACTCAGCGGCACGGTGGTCCTCCCAGAAGGCCCCAGAGCCACAGAGGCCGGGACAGCTGACCTTTAGAAGTCAGAGACTCAGGGTGGGCGCAGCCCCGTGGGGCAGCCCAGCACCCCAAAAAAGAAAGCCACAAAGGCCCCTCAAACCACAAACACTACGCCACGTCCCCTGCTAGTAAAAGCCACCTGCACATGAGGAAATTTGTGCGAACACCTTGGGCTGCAGAGAGCTTCCTGCTGCCACACAGTGCGCCAGAGGCTCCCCCTCCAGCAACCGCCAAGCGGGGCTGTCCCCGTGCGCGGCTGTGTCCGTGCCCGGCTGTCCCCGTGTGCAGCTGTCCCTCCGCTGTGACTACCCATCATCATGGGGGCTATTGGCGTTTAGCTGACTTTCCCTTGGGACGACCTGCTTGATCGAGAACGAAACAAGGACAGAAAATAATGGCATCACTCAACCGATAGGTTTCTAAATAAAGCTCCTCCACAGACCAGAACCACCTGGAGTGTGGGGCCTCCGTAGAATGAGCCTCCAGCCAAGGGGAGGCCAAGG